TATAGAGGGCTGAAAAATTCAAACCCCAATAAGTGTTCAATTGTGACGAAACAGGCCTGTTTTGAAAGAAAATGCCAAACGGGACCTACATTACTCTGGAGGAAAAGGCACTCCCAGGACACAAGCCTTTGAAAGACAGGCTGACTCTCATGTTTTGTAGTAATGCTAGTGGGGATTGCAAAGTGAAGCCTTTACTGGTGTATCACTGAAAATCCCAGAGTGTTCAAGAAAAACAGTGTCGTCAAGAGTAAATTGTGTGTGATGTGGAAGGCAAACAGTAAGGCATGTGTCACTAGGGACATTTTTCTTGATTGGTTCAATGACGTGTTTGGCTCCAGTGTAAAGAAATACCTCCTGGAAAATGAATTGGAACTAGAGTGCCTCCTGCTCATCCTCCAGACTTGGAAGAGCAAATGGTGCAGGAGTTTTATTTCATCATAGTGAAGTTCTTTCCCCCTAATACCACTCCTCTCCTCCAGCCCATGGACCAGCAGGTCATTTCAAATTTCAAACAACTGTACACCAAAGCAGTGTTTCAAAAGTGCTTTGAAGTGACCTCAGACACTGAATTGACCCTAAGAGAGTTCTGGAAAGATCACTTCAGTATCCTCAGTTGCATGAGAGAGTGACTTGCAGGACTTTGAACTCTGCTTGGAGAAAATTGTAACTACAATGTGTACAAGAGAGGGATTTTGAAAGGTTTGGGGCTGACCCTGAGGAGCCTATGCCTGTTGTAGAAAGTATTGGGGGGCTCAGGTGGCTAATGCTCTCACTTCACACAGCAAGGGCCTGGGTTCGATTCCCACCCAGAGTAGAATCATTGGGCATGTTTCTTTGCACCTGTTGTCTATGTTCCCCATCAGTAAAATGGATATCTGGGTGTTAGTCGACTGGTGTGGGTCGCATCCTGGGACACTGACCTAAAGTGTCCGAAATGCTAAGCATAACAAGAGGATTCCTATATAGTAGTATGTCATTGTTGTCAGCTAGGCCTGTATACCATGTACATGTACCTGTAGTAAATAAAGATTATTATTATTATTATTATTATTATTGGGGAATTCCATGGGGTTGGATGTGAGTTTCGAGGATGTGGAACAGTTGGTGGAAGACCACGATGAAGAGCTAACCACTACAGAGCTGCAAGAGCTTTATCTGCAACAGCAGCAGACCACAGCTCAGGAAATTGCTTCAGGGGAGGAAGAAGAGAGATGGAGGAAAGTGCCTTCTTCAGAGATTAAGGAGACTTGTACAATGTGAACAAAGGTGCAAACATTTGTGGATGAGCATCACCCTAACAAAGTTGTTGCAGGTCGTGTTGGCAACATGTACACTGACAATGTTGTGTTCCATTTTAGGGAAGTTTTAAAGAAACGCTTGATACAGACCTCTCTGGAACACTTTTTTGAGTGACAGGGGTCCAGTGACTCTCAGGCTGGTCCTAGTGGCATTAAAAAACAAAGAAGAGAAGTAACCCCGGAAAAGGACTTGGTACCTGAAGTCTTTATGGAAGGGGATTCCCCTTCCAAACAATAGTGCACCTCCATCCTCTCCCCTCCTCCCATCTCATCACTCATCAGTTGGTCTTCAATAAAGGTAAGTGTCATTTTAGTATTGTTTTCTGCATGTTTCATTGTTTTCTGTGTAGGGAAATGTATATTTCATGTAAAAAAATGATTATTTTTAATACTTTTGGGTGTCGGGAATGGATTAATTGGATTTGATATTTCTTTTGGGGAAAATTAATTTGGTACTCGTCAGATTCGGGTTTAGTCACTCTCTCTGGAACGGATTAACCCTTTGACTATTGCAAATCCTGAAGTGTCTCCTGGTGTCAAAAAATATTAGAAAAAAAAAATTTGTTTTTCTTATCAAAATGTTAAGATTAATTTTTTGATTGTTTTAGGCCCCCCAAAAATTTTTGCGATCAGTACTTATCGAGATATAGAGGCGTAAAATTGGCAGAAAATGAGCCACGTATGGCAACAGTAGCAAATGCTGCTCACCTGGTAAATTTTGTGTGACTCATGAAATCGTAATGACACGATTGTAAACAAATCATACCACGGGCGGGGATAGAACCCGCGATCAGAGTCTCAGAACTCCAGACCATTGCGTTAGCTAGTGGACCAGCTAGCCACTTTGGTTTACTTGCATTCAAAGGTTTCTTGTTTTTTTCACTATTTTATTTTTTTTCACATAACTTACGTGGCCTGTGAGACCAAAGTATAGTGCAGTGTTCATATATACATTCATTGAATGTAACACAATTATAACAAAAACACTAGTACACTGTACATATTATATTGTTTACAAAACTTGTTTACACAAACAAACAATATAAAAAAAATTTTATTTCTATTGTTCTATAATATACATATGTACAATCACTGGACACTTTCCTAGAGCTGCTGCAGCTTGTGGAATTCTATGAAACATGGGTGTATACACAGTGGTGTTTTACACTCCTCACACATAAAATGCGTGTGTCTGTGCATTTTTCTTGAAAGTAGTAGGCAGTGGTATGGAGTAGTGATCACCAGGCCTCAGATGAGATGGCATGTGTTGATAATTTCGTCGGCGCTGGTCTATTTCAAGTGTTGTTCCTTGGTACTTGAATATTGTTTGTCTGATAACTGACAAACAAAATTCACCATATTTGGGTTTGTTGTTGGTCTTCATCTTATACATATTATAAGCATTCAGCATGGAAATGTCAAGAAGATGGAAAAAGAATTTTATGTACCACTTATAACTCTTGCGAACACAATCAGCAAACCCAATCTGCATGTCACATTTGTCCACTGAGCGCATATTAAGGTTGTAGTCAATCACAGCTGCACATTTTCAATAGGTTCATTGGTCTCTATTTTACTTGTCAGTGTCTACCATTTTGTGTCGGTGAACTGATGTCAACAATGTAACATCACGTTTGTCATGCCACCAAAATGCCATGATGTCATTGACAGCAAACACCTGAACATCACCTCTACGAGTGCCTGAGTCGAATCTGGGCATATGCTTATAATTTCCATGCACTGTGCCACACACATCTGTCATGTTCATCACAAGAAATCACTGAGTAAGGGGCTTGTGTACTAGTTATCAGTATATAAAATATGCCTCTTACCAAGATATGGTTCCATCATTGTTCTAACCACATCACCAGAGATACCCAGTAACTTCCTGGTAACTTGCAATGTATTACTGCCAGTGTACACAATTATATCCAAAACCAGGCCACTTTTGCAATCACACAGTACAAAAAACTTTATACCAAAGCATTTCCTCTTGCTTGGTATGTACTGCTTGAATGAGAGTCTGCCTTTGAACAAAATCAAACACTCGTCAATAACAAGCTTCTTGAAGGGATAAAAACTCATACAGCACTTTTGTTTCAGGTACATAAACACATTCCTGATCTTATATAACCTGTCGCTTCTGTCAGGCCTTTTTTTGTCTGAGAAGTGTAACATACGTAATAGTAGCATAAATCTGTTCACTGGCATAATATCACCAAAAGCTAGGGTTGAATTCAGGTGGTCTGTCAACCATTGTGTTAACACCGTGCTTATACACAAGTGGCATAAGCATTATTGTGGCAAAGAACAGATACATTTCTGTCACAGTTATCCTTCCACTTGTGTAGGCATGATCTTGGTGAAAGAATTGTGTTTGCCATGGTGTACTCAAAGTATGTATTGCTTTCCCTGACAATAATTTCCATCAGGGGTTCATCGAAGAGTAACTGAAAGCATTCCATTTCAGTGGCATTGTTCCCAAGTGTACATGATGACCGTATTCCACTTTGTATTTCATCAAAGTGATGGGGATTGAGAATAAAATTGTCACCTTGCTGCCAATCCCAGATGTGGTCTGCTGGTGGGTACTGGATATTTACAGGTTGTGGTTGTGGGAGTGTTGGGTTGGTTGAGGGTAGTTGTGGCTGTGCTGAGTTAGCAGCATGGGTAGTAGCATGGCCCACTGCCAGAGAGCTTATCTTTAACTAAATTTATCTTTATCCGAATTAATTTTCCCCATAAGAAATAATGGAAATCCAATTAATCCGTTTCAGACATCCAAAAGTATTAAAAACATTTTTTTTTTTACATGAAATATACATTTTTCTGCACAGAAAACAATGAGACAGGAAGAATAAATACAATGGCACACTGGCTGTACGTAGAGTGGCCGGGTGGCTCAGGCTGCGCGGACATGTTCTGGACAAATGTCCCTAACCAAGGTTAGGGAATACAACCGTAAAAACCATATGAACATATACTGCAAAGGGGCAGCTAATGGCTGAGAAGTGAACTCCGTTATTTATGGTCCAATTTCTTTCAAATTTGGTGTACATTAAGAAGCGTCTTTCCCTCATACATTGCCCAAGTTTCAATAAGAAAGTCCAACAAATGATTGAGATCAAATTCCCTAGATCAAGAGCAAGAGCCCCTCACCAGCATCGAGGAACTTCCCTTGAGGTCCGCTTGCATCCTGAAATTTCGCTCATATACAGAAGCAAAAAAATCGACCGAGTGACTGCTCATATCCTGAAAAACTCACATGGTGGGGCACTCGTAAGCCGGGGTTCCTCTGTACAAATGTTTGAGGGGGTTTAAGCCTCGCTATTCATCTAGGTGTGGGAGGACATCATGAACCTTCTCCACACATTTCTAGATAAAAAAGAAACAACATCTATAATGTAAATTATCAAGAGCATTATTAATATTAATATAAGAATTGAAAAAAATTTGCATTGAAGTGTCATAAATTTGCTCCATCCATCCATCTCGTTTTCAGATGGATGTCTTCTGTAATTACAAATTGGCTATTAAATCTCATATGCAGTATATGTAAAAACAGATTTCAAGTGTTGCCTGGCTTTTGGCTTTCTAATGTAGAAATATATATCAGTATGAAAAAAATAGTTGAATTTGAACTGTACTAAATTGTTTTGGAAGATTTTACAGTGTTTCATTAATTGCTTGAATTCTGCCTAGGCAAGAACAAGGAAGACAGACTAAACATCACCAACCTTCATCAATTTTCTCGCTACCAGATTGAGGTCAGTGCAGCTATATTATGCAGACATTGACAAATACACTAATTTAGTACTGAGGTAAGTGAATTATGACAAACGTTTTCTATTTTGCAACAGTATGTTGACAATGCTTTCCTGACTTGACTTTGAAGCTTCACTTGTTATAACATTATTTGCACATTGTTTTCTGACATAAATCACCATTTGCACACTATCGTAGCTCATGTTTTTAATTTTTTTATATTAACACACAGACCGATTCCCACCAAGGCAGGGTGGCCTGAAAAAGAAACACTTTCATCATCATTCACTACATCCAGCAGGCCGGACTCGAATCCGGCCTGCCGGTTTCCCTGAATCCCTTCATAAATGTTACGTTGCTCACACTCCAATAGCACGTCGAGTATTAAAAACAATTTGTCTCCATTCACTCCTATCAAATACACTCAGGCATGCTTGCTGGAAGTCCAAGCCCCTTGTACACAAAACCTCCTTTACCCCCCCTCCCTCCAACCTTTCCTTGGCCTACCCCTACCCCACCTTCCCTCCACTACAGATTTATACACACTCAGTCATTCTGTTTCATTCCATTCTCTCTACGTGTCTGAACCACCTCGGCAGCCCTTCCTCAGCCCTCTGGATAATAGTTTTGGTAATTCTGCACCACCTCCTAATTTCAAAACTACGAATTCTCTGCACTATATTCACATCACACATTACCCTCATTCATGACATCTCCACTGCCTCCAGCCTTCTCCTCATTGCAACATTCACCACCCATGCTTCACACACATATAGGAGTGTTGGCATAACTATACTCTAATACATTTCCCTCTTTGCTTCCATGGACAAAGTTCTTTGTCTCCACAGATTCCTCAGTGCACCACTCACCCTTTTCCCCTCATCATTTCTGTGATTCGCCTCATCCTTCATAGACCCATCTGCTGACACGTCCACTCCTAAATATCTGAATACATTCACCTCCTCCATACTCTCTCCAGTCTGATATCCAATCTTTCTTCACCTAATCTTTTTGTTATCCTCATCACCTTCTCTCCAATCTGATATCCAATCTTTCTTCACCTAATCTTTTTGTTATCCTCATCACCTTACTCTTTCCTATATTCACTTTTAATTTTCTTCTTTTACATACCCTACCAAATTCATCCACCAACCTCTGCAACTTCTCTTCAAAATCCCCTAAAAGCACAGTGTCATCAGCAAAGAGCAGCTGTGACAACTTCCACTTTGTGTTAAATTCTTTATCTTTAACCCCACACCTCTTGCCAACACCTGAGCATTCACTTCTCTTACAAACCCATCTATAAGTATATTGAACAACCACGGTGACATCTCATGTCTTAGGCCTGCTTTTACTGGGAAATAATCTCCCTCTCTCCTACATACTCTAACCTGAGCCTCACTATCCTCGTAATAACTCCACTGCTTTCAGTAACCTACCTCCTATTCCATACACCTGCAACATTTGCCACATTGCCCTCCTATCCACTCTTTCATACACATTTTCTAAATGCATAAAGTCACAAAAACCTCTTTAGCCTTATCTAAATACTGTTCATCTATATGTTTCACTGTAAACTCTTGGTCTACACACCCCTTACTTTTCCTAAAGCCTCCTTGTTCATCTGCTATCCTACTCTCTGTTTTACTCTTAATTCTTTCAATAATGACTCTACCATACACTTTCCAGGTATACTCAACAGGCTTATTCCCCTATATTTTTGCACTCTTTTTATCCCCTTTACCTTTATACAAAGCAACTATGCACACACTGCCAATCCCTAGGTACCTTACCCTCTTCCATGCATTTCTTAAATAATAGCACCAACCACTCCAAAACTATATCCCCACCTGCTTTTAAAGAGGGCAATTTTCTGTGTTGTAAGACCAAAACAAAATTTTAGGACTAGTACTTACTGAGATATAAGACGGTGAAGTTGGTTCTGGATGCTCACCTGACAGCAACATGGAGTCCTGCTATTTGCAGAAGTGTTGCCAATATATCTTTTTTTCTTGTTTTTATTTTAATTTATATAATTTTTGTTTTGATAATTACAATTTATAATAGTTCTTGTGATTTCATAGCCAATCTTTGTTCTGACACTAATATTAGGTACTGAAATAGTACTCAAATAGTCAGTCACACATGCAGGTGTACATTTTCACCTGCCTTGGTCATTTATTATTGTCTAGAAATATCTACAAAGTATTTATAGGTCTCAGCAATATTTTAGACATGCTGGAGTATATATGAAACTTCTTGAAGCATGGTGTTTATGACGAATGTTGCTAAACTGCTGACAGGGTAAGCAGTGGAGTTACACAATGATAGTGCCCTGCTTCAGGAAACCCTGGCTTTGTTTACACTGTTACATTCAAACATGTATGTCTTCATACATGTCTATCTATCTGTCTGTGTCTCTCTCTCTATCTCTGCTTATCTTTCTGTCTGCTTGTGTGTGTGTCTCTCTGTCTGCCTGTGTGTCTTGGTCTTTCTTTCTGCCTGTGTGTCTTGGTCTTTCTCTCTGCCTGTGTGTCTTGGTCTTTCTGTCTGCCTGTGTGTCTCGGTCTTTCTATCTGCCTGTGTGTGTGCATTTCTGTCTGCTTGTCTCTGTCTTAGAGAGCGGCTCGTAAACCAGCAGGTATTACACATGATGCAGTAGTCATGTCTGATTCCTGTTGAAGTGAAAATGTGTATTACTTGCCACTGAGTTGCCAGTCATGGATGTTACGTCTTCTATCTACAAGCACTGTTTTGCACTTTGCCTGGAATTTTTAGGTTATCCTAGGTAATTTACACTATGTACAATTGTACATAGATAGTAGGTTGGTAGACAGCAACCACCCAGGGAGGTACTACCGTCCTGCCAAGTGAGTGTAAAACGAAAGCCTGTAATTGTTTTACATGATGGTAGGATTGCTGATGTCTTTTGTCTGTCTCATAAATATGCAAGATTACAGGCATGTCTTGCTACTTCTACTTACACTTAGGTCACACTACACATACATATACACATTTATTCATACACACTCATCTGAGTTTTCTTTGATTTTATCTTAATAGTTCTTGGTCTTATTAATTTTCCTTTTATATCCATGGGGAAGTGGAATAAGAATCTTTCCTCCGTAAGCCATGCGTGTTGTAAAAGTCGACTAAAATGCCGGGGAACAATGGGCTAGTAACCCCTTTTCCTGTAAAGATTACTAAAAAGAATAAGAAGAAGAAAATTGTCAAAGTGGGAAGTCTGAATGTGCGTGGATGTTGTGCAGATGATAAGAAAGAGATGATTGTGGATGTTATGAATGAGAAGAAGCTGGATGTCCTGGCTTTAAGTGAAACAAAGCTGAAGGGGGTGGGAGAGTTTCAATGGAGAGGAATAAATGGGATTAGGTCAGGGGTTTCAAATAGAGTTAGAGCTAAAGAAGGAGTAGCAATAATGTTGAAGGATAAGCTATGGCAGGAAAAGAGGGACTATAAATGTATTAATTCAAGGATTATGTGGAGTAAAATAAAGATTGGATGTGAAAAGGGGTTATAATAAGCGTGTATGCACCTGGAGAAGAGAGAAGTGTAGAGGAGAGAGAGAGATTTTGGGAAATGTTGAGTGAATGCGTGGGGAGTTTTGACTCAAGTGTGAGAGTAATGGTGGTTGGGGATTTCAATGCTAAAGTGGGTAAAAATGTTATGGAGGGAGTAGTAGGTAAATTTGGGGTGCCAGGGGTAAATGTAAATGGGGGAGCCTTTAATTGAGCTATGTGTAGAAAGAAATTTGGTAATAAGTAATACATATTTTATGAAAAAGAGGATAAATAAATATACAAGGTATGATGTAGCACGTAATGAAAGTAGTTTATTAGATTATGTATTGGTGGATAAAAGGTTGATGGGTAGGCTCCAGGATGTACATGTTTATAGAGGGGCAACTGATATATCGGATCATTATTTAGTTGTAGCTACAGTTAGAGTAAGAGGTAGATGGGAAAAGAGGAAGGTGGCAACAACAAGTAAGAGGGAGGTGAAAGTGTATAAACTAAGGGAGGAGGAAGTTCGGGCGAGATATAAGCGACTATTAGCAGAAAGGTGGGATAGTGCAAAGATGAGTAATGGGGGGGTTGAAGAGGTTGGAATAGTTTTAAAAATGCAGTATTAGAATGTGGGGCAGAAGTTTGTGGTTATAGGAGGGTGGGTGCAGGAGGAAAGAGGAGTGATTGGTGGAATGATGAAGTAAAGGGTGTGATAAAAGAGAAAAAGGTAGCTTATGAGAGGTTTTTACAAAGCAGAAGTGTTATAAGAAGAGCAGAATATATGGAGAGTAAAAGAAAGGTAAAGAGAGTGGTGAGAGAGTGCAAAAGGAGAGCAGATGATAGAGTGGGAGAGGCACTGTCAAGAAATTTTAATGAAAATAAGAAAAAATTTTGGAGTGGAGTTAAACAAGTTAAGAAAGCCAAGGGAAAATATGGATTTGTCAGTTAAAAACAGAGTAGGGGAGTTAGTAGATGGGGAGATGGAGGTATTAGGTAGATGGCGAGAATATTTTGAGGAACTTTTAAATGTTAAGGAAGAAACAGAGGCAGTAATTTCATGCACTGGTCAGGGAGGTATACCATCTTTTAGGAGTGAAGAAGAGCAGAATGTAAGTGTGGGGGAGGTACGTGAGGCATTACGTAAAATGAAAGGGGGTAAAGCAGCTGGTACTGATGGGATCATGACAGAAATGTTAAAAGCAGGGGGGGATATAGTGTTGGAGTGGTTTGGTACTTTTGTTCAATAAATGTATGAAAGAGGGGAAGGTACCTAGGGATTGGCGGAGAGCATGTATAGTCCCTTTATATAAAGGGAAAGGGGACAAAAGAGACTGTAAAAATTATAGAGGAATAAGCTTACTGAGTATACCAGGAAAAGTGTACGGTAGGGTTATAATTGAAAGAATTAGAGGTAAGACAGAATGTAGGATTGCGGATGAGCAAGGAGGTTTCAGAGTGGGTAGGGGATGTGTAGATCA